ACAAAATCCTTTAACAAGACGCCATGGTTAACGCATAACCATACTTTCTTATGAAAAAAAAATCAGCGGATTTCAAAGGTGGAAGCATTTTTTCAAAGGAATTTTATGTTCAGAATGTGCAAGGTGGTCAATCGAAAGTGATTGTCCGGGGGACAAAAAGAATTCAAACTGCTGTTTACTAACTCTTCCACTTTGTCAGTTGGAGTATTCACCATTGAGATGGGACAGTTTTATTTTGTGAGGATAAAATAAAAATGTATAAAGTTCTGAAAAATGGCAAATACCAGAAAAACTTATAGACAGTAAATAAAGAAAAGTTCAAAGCAAGCAAGTTTCGTGATGCAATTCGAAAATAAGCGAATAAATGTTACAAAAGCGCTGTTGGGAGAATAATTTGACAGTTTTACAAACAGTAATAAAAATCCTTTAAAGCAATTTAATTAAAACAATTCTCGGGTGGGTTTTTTTTTTTTAAAAAATGTAAGGTAAAAATTTTTTCGAGTTGTGTACAAAAATATGTGGATGATGAACATTAAATACAAATCTTTCACTGATCATTTTTTTTTAAAAAATTAATACAGCACATTTTGTTTCTTATTAAGTAACAGATGAAGCATCACGTAACAGTTCTACAGTGTTGACGGATATGTCAAATAAGCTACATTTTCAAGTATCCACGCAGAAAAAGAGAACTTTCCATAAGTACAAGTAAACAGTCTACACAAGTACTTAAAACCGTCCTGGTGCTCCTTTGCTTGGGACAAGCAGTAGGCGAGATGAAACTACTCTTGCTAGACTTGGCAGTGGACATACTCAAGCTCAACGGCATGTGGCGAGTCTAAAGTTTACCCTCCTTGTTCGAGTTGCTATGTGACCCAAGCTGCTCCTGCCCACATCTTGGCTTGTATTGGTTGCCATAAGAGCCAACTGCTCTCAAGTCCTGCTACAGTTCTTTATTGTTTAAAAACGCACGGGTCCATGGACTCTAGATTAGGGGTACTCAACCTTTTTTTCTGCTGGGCCGCATATATATGTCAGCTATTTCACGCGGGCCACATACATATGTTACTTATTTCACGCGGGCCACATACATATGTTACTTATTTCACGCGGACCGCAACATGACGATAAATGGGGGAGGGGGATTGCTTTAAGACCAAAATAACATTGGAAATTTAAAACGTGGAAAATCGATCAAAATATTTTAACTCCTGTTTTGCTTTTTTTTTAATTATTATTTTTTATATTTCCTTATTTTTGTCGCTAACACTAATTTAGAAGCATTCAAGAAACATTCCTTCACAATTTCTGCATCAGTAAACGGTTTCATATGATAACCAATAATAGAGAAAACTTCATAGTATGTCTCTGTTACCGATGTGATATTACCACTAGCAAAACACTTTGTTGCTCTGTTGGAAAGATTATTCAAGAAAGCCTATTTATCACCTCTTGAAAGAGATCTTCCGGGAAAAGTGTCTTTGGATGATTCCTGTGTGTTTATTGGCATTTTTTAAATACAGCATTTTCTTGCCAAATGAAATAATTACTGATCCATGTTTGTTTTTCACTACAAAATAGTCAGCTTCCCAACAGTCTTGAAACGATTTATTTTTTTCGAATATTTTTCGCTTGCAAGATATGAAAGATAGTTAAAAATTAGTTCCACCCATAAAATTGTCGCTACTCCACTGTTATTTTTTATCACTAACCGTTCCAAATATTAAAAAAATATATCAATTCGTAGCCGTTCGACTCCGACAACAAAAAGCAAAATTGATCTATTTAATTTCTTGACAGAGAATTTTCTACCAAATTTTTAATACAATATTCTGAAATAAGTACATTTCTCAGAGCAATGGACCATGAACGGGCCACATAAAATGGCTCGGTGGGCCGCAGGTTGAATATCGCTAATCTAGATGATTCTGTAGATCAAGTGGGATAAGAAACAACAACAGTACTTAAACTAAAAACCTAATGAAATAAATTATGCTCAAGATATTTCAAAACATACAGTTGAAGTGGAAAAAAAAATCACGCTGCACGAAGAAATTTGGAACTCAAGAGAAGTATTTCTGAATAAATATGCTTATGGAAAACAGCAAACGACTACGCAAACAAAACATTTAATACTTCAAATGAGAATTCTCAGACGAACAAAAGTAATTGACGATATTATTTAACAATGATAAATTCTGATTGATAGCTAAGATTTAACATTTATTTGTTAGTACTGGCATACAACATGAGCAGGTTCAGAAAACTGGATTTTCAGTTTTAAAATTTAGATAAGTTATTCGCTTAACGAATATCTCCGAAACTATTCACCTGGACCAATTTCAGGAAAGAAAAAAGAATATTTGCTATAAAGCAGGAATTAGAATGAGGTGCACTTCTAGATTTACATTGTCAGGTGCAGATCATGATTAAAATAGGAAAAAAAAAAAGGAATAGAAAAAGCAATGAAATCGATAGGTTCATCAGTTTTTATGATGTCTTCTGACCTAAAAAAATTGATTAATATTTTATCCCGTGATGTTCAGAAAATCCTGGCAAATGTTATTTCAGTTTCGACACGATTTCTATAACGAATGATTATCTATTATTCAGTGATTTATTGAGATGTCAAATATTTTTCCATATTTTATCACCAGAAACAGGTAAAATTCATGTTTTATTAATTTAATTTGATCAAAATCGCATGATATCGTGTTGCATGCAAAAATTTTAATTTGTAGTTCGTTCGACTTCGAGTCTGTCTCAGATTTAACGCCTGTTATAAGAATAAATAGGTTTTTAATATATTCCCCTATCACTCGAATTGATTTATTTAAGTAAGGAAAGAAGGATTTCTGTAATAAACAAGTACATCATTCAAGTTTTTCAATTCCCCTACAATGAGTTCACTCTTTCCATATACATACATATAAAGGGTGTTTTTTTAGAGGTATAGAACTTTAAATTGCAATAAAACAACGATGTATTTTTCGATTGACATGAATTATTTTTTATTCGAAAGATAATCTTGCGGCATTACATTTTAAATATGATTTCTGGCATAGGACTGCCACGGCTGGCTCGGATGTTGTCCAATCTGGACGTCCAATTTTCGATGACTTTTTCCAACATTTGTGGCCGTATATCGGCAATAACACGGCGAATGTTGTCTTCCAAATGGTCAAGTGTTTGTGGCTTATCCGCATAGACCAATGACTTTACGCAGCCCCACAGAAAATAGTCTAGCGGTGTTAAGTCACATGATTTTGGAGGCCTATTCACAGGTCCAAAACGTGAAATTAGGCGGTCACCAAACGTGTCTTTCAATAAATCAATTGTGGCACGAGCTGTGTGACATGTTGCGCCGTCTTGTTGGAACCACAGCTCCTGGACATCATGATTGTTCAATTCAGGAATGAAAAAGTTAGTAATCATGGCTCTATACCGATCACCATTGACTGTAACGTTGTGGCCTTCATCGTTTTTGAAGAAGTACGAACCAATGATTCCACCAGCCCATAAAGCGCACCAAACAGTCAGTTTTTCTGGATGTAACGGCGTTTCGACATACACTTGTGGATTTGCTTCACTCCAAATGCGGCAGTTTTATTTGTTGACGTAGCCATTCAACCAGAAGTGCGCTTCAGCGCTAAACAAAATTCGCTTATGAAAATCGGGAACAACGGCAATCTCGTTTTGGGCCCATTCGACGAATCTACGCCTTGCTTGATCATATTTAAAATGTAATGCCACAAGATTATCTTTCGAATAAAAAAAAATTCATGTCAATCGAATAATACATCGTTGTTTTATTGCAATTTAAAGTTCTATACCTCTAAAAAAACACCCTTTATATATATTGTTGGATGTTATCTGTTGTTTGTAGAGAATAAGACTATATATATATGAAGAGATTGAACATATAGTATATATATATATATGTAACGTATTGTAGTAGCGTTGGCCGGTGTTGGTTTGTTGTCATATCTGGTTTATTGAAGACATCTCTTCAGAATAACTTTTCCTCCTTTATTATGAAGCACACATCAATAGATTAAAACACAATTGCGGTACATTTTCACATTGAATAGGCAGAGGCATGTTGGAAAACACAAAGACAAATAGCTGCAGTTATTTACATTCGTACATGATGAAGGCAAGCAGACTGAGAAAAAAAAGAGAGCGATTACACAAGATCTTTGCTTTTATACCGGCAGTGGTTATTACGTAATAGTAGTTCTGATTGGATAGAATGGGCAGGGCAGGGATTTCGGACTAGCCGATAACGATTTTAAGATTACAGTGTTATTTTTAAACTAAAGAATTAAAGTTTGTTTAAATATTAATACAAAGAGTTAACAAAAAGGATACTAGAGGGAATTATATATATAGTCAAAATTCTATACTAGAGAGAGAGAGAGATGGATATTCAATAATAAAAATTGAAAAAAATTTAATTGCAAGGTAACCAGACATAAGATTTTAGGAAGGATAATAAGTTTAAAATATAAAAATATGGATGTTACAGTATTATAAACATTGCTGACTTAGGACAGCTGAAATATAAAATAATTTATATAAGTGGGGTTGAACATGTTTTGTGGCCAGCCAACCTTCCCCCCTTGTGTTAACAATACAGAGCAAAAACCTATTGAAAGTAATGGATAGAATATCTAAATCCAGTACAAGAAAAATATTGCATTACCTAAAAATTGCATTCAAAAATGCAGAGCCCGCGCTAAATCTGAGTACAATTAACAAGTTATTGCCAGATTCTGGATTCAAATATATATCTAGTTCAAATTTTCAATCGTTAATAAAATACTTTCTATTCATCCATCCAAGTTCAAATACATTTTTTAAACTTGTAGTGGATGATACTTGATGTTAATAGTTTTTTTTCAAACATTAATTTATTAATTAAATTAAAAAATGGACAAATAGTAAGAAACAAAAATAAAAGTTCAACAGCATATATAGAAATGAAAATCGTACGTGGTGCCCCTGTAGCACAATGGATAGCGCGTTGGACATCAAATCCAAAGGTCGTGGGTACCCACCAGTGATGGCCTAATTTCTTAGAATCTGATTTCTTTTTTACAAAATTATTTTACAAAAATAATTACATTTAATGAATGAATAAATAGCACAAAAAAAAAAAGTCCAACACCATATATAGAATGGAAAATTGCAAGGAAAATCGTTTTTTATTTTGTCACTTTATATTGCGAGATTCTGTCATTATATACATATTTATATTAATTGTAACTATTTAATAAAAAGTAACTAAAATAAAAAAAATTTCTTTACCTAAGTAGTTGTTCTTATAAAATATTGTACTTGTTAAAAATATAATTTAAGTGTATCATGAAAAATTAGTAAATCAAATATAACTGTAGTACCTGAATATTCAACGTGTAATTCACATAAAATAATATCTACCACATGTTCCTTAACAGAGAATGAGTCATTCACCCAATAGGAATTTTAACTCCAATTTCTGCATTACTCCCCCCCAACCAACACAAAATACACCCCTTTCATACATTGTTGTTGTTTACAGATGGTTCCAATCATGATTTCTATCGTTATGTTGATTTTCAGAACAGTTCTATTTTAATAAGAGCTTTCGAAAAGAGAATTTGTTTAGAGATTTGGTGATAAATATTTTTCAAAAAATAAGTTTGCCCTTTACCTTGATTACATGTCTCTTAAATTTAAAATTTTCAAAATTAAAGAGGAGTAGCAATATTAAAATATGTTACACATATTAAGCGATGTATGTAAAACTTTTATTTGGGACGGCTGGTTTCCAATTCCATGCTGTTTATTGCATTATATTTATAGTTGTTGTAAAGTAAACTTGCCTCTTTTGCTTCTATCTGATGATTCTCTTCCTCTGTTGGCTTCTATCTCATGTTATTGTCGATCGGATGCGATAAGTAACAACAAAACTTGATCTCGTGGATTTATGTTAAGTATATTGAGTATGAATAAATCTTAAGAATACACATAACACCAGAAAAAATTGATCTTGAAGTTTTTTAAAGACTTATTAAATATTTTATGTAATTATAAAATAATTTTTTAATAAATAATTTTCATATTATTAAACTATTTGTAACTAATTTTTATATAAAATGTCGTTTAATATTTATTATAATATATTTTTATAACAAATATTATTTATTAATATTTATATTTATTAAATATAATATAAACATTTAAATAATTACAGTATATATAATCATTTTACTTTTGAAAATACAAAATAATTATCTAAAATATCATTTAATATATTTAATAAACCTTTATTAAATCAATTTATTTCTTTGTAAAAAGAATTAAATGAGTATAAAAATTCAAACAAAAAAAAAACGATCGCGCGACTCGAACCTTAGCCGGCCGCGTGGTAAACAGATACTCTACCACTATGCCACTGCATCGCTGTCGCTAACTAAAACAGCATTAATTCATACGAAAGAATCAGACTGACAAGGGGAGGGCACGACTAAGGAAATTCATTTAGGGACGAGGCTTTTTGTGTACTAGTAGTACTCCTTTAGGGTGCTCAACCCTCAATGTGATTCCGCTGAATCGCCAGTCATTTCAGAGAAAATAGCCTTCGAAATCCATGCTATTTTTTACAATTAAGTACGCAAAATGATATTCATATTCCCTCGTTGTTTTAAAACTATTAAATATCTTTCTGAATGGCATTTGTACTAGGCTATCTCTCTTGTGAGGTTCTCTCTCAAAACTAACTAGGGGTAATAGTTTATGTTTTATTTAAGTTTAAACGTTTCCTCTTAACAGTGGAAATGTGATTAGCAAGTTCGTTCTAACATGCACAAGTGAGAGACAGAGATAAAAGTTAGTTAGCCGAGTAGCTGTGATTTTCAACACTAGTTGGAACGTTTTCGGATTCAAATGTATAGTTAACAATACCTTGTCTAGATTGAGGCATTTTATTCATCATGAAAAGCTCTTGGGACAAATCTCATTGGGTCACAGATTCGATTTGTCTTTCAAAAGCTCCTTCCTTTTTACTGGAAACTCAGAATCAAAAGCTCTGCTAACCTTTTTAGGCTAACAGATAACAGTGCCTTTTAATCATTTAATCGATTAATCTTCATCGCATACCCTGTGCGTGAAGACACACAGGGTCTTTTTATTTTGTATTAGTAACAGGGTGTCCCTGTTACTAATACAAAATAAAAAATTAATTTTTTGTGTGTTTGTGATTAATACCATGTATCTTGTATCGTGTCGACTATTCCTACATAAGATCGGGTTTGAATCACAACATTTCGAGTTGCTTGAGTTTTGTCTTCGGGCATGTGGATTGTTATCAACCCTCAATCTCGTATCTGCATTAGCTTTGATGACGAACAGCAAAAGTGGATTCTATCACGCTGACGAGAAACATACAGGCGATTGGTCAAGCCGCAAGGTACCAGAGGGCGTGTCCATAGGAGTAGAAAAATCGTCAAAGTTCAAGATTTTGATGTGAGTTGGAGAGTTGATAGACACCTTTCCGATTGGTTTATGGGCAGTAAGAAAATGGCTCTGATTAGCTGCCCAGGAGGTGCTAAAAAGGGGAAGGGCAATGTCCAGAATGAAATACGAGAAGGGAAAGAATTACTAATAACTTTTTTAAAAAGATAAATTAAGCAAAAATTATCTGCAATAATAAAAATTACTACAAGAGGAAGAATTTAGGAGGATTGCGCAAATCTAGAAAAATTCTTCTAGGACGTTTCCTCTTATTATGTGAGCTTTTCCAGTGGGAAACTCTCGGAGTTAAAAATTCAGAGTTAGGGTGTGATCACTACACATTAATCACGTGAAAATTATTTCTTTGTCACAATATTCCAATGCTGAAAAAAAACACCCGAATTCTAAAAGCAATTTTGTATTATATCAAGTTATAGTATAGTTAAGCACGAAAATGAAATACTCCAAACCTTTTAGTAGTATTTATAACTGAAGGAATAAAACAAATTCGAATTACATTGGATATTTCGTATTCAACACAGAAAAAAATATTAGTAAATAATTAAACTTATTAAAAACATAAAATAAAATTTAAAAAAAGATTTTAATTCAACTGAAGGAATTCTTAACGTACTTTGGCAGCTTCAGACACTAAGAAAAGAGACCCATAATCTAAGTACAGACCATCTTTTTTTTTTTTACAAAATATCAAGCATTACAAATCCTTACACTATAAAAATTGGGGGGTCATCCCTCCCTTTCCACCAATTTTATGAAAACAGGAAAATATACTTTACAAAAAAAGCATATTCAGTCATTATTTCTAGAATATACAAGCACCGCCTCGGCATTTCACGCATAAGATACAAAAAAAAAAAAAAAAAAAAAAAAAAAAAAAAATCGCACTTAAAAAGTTTTTGATTTTTAATAATCTTAAAAGAAATTTCCGGTTCAAGCTTGTATTCTCGTTATTCACGATTAGGGAAGCAGGACATAGTTTTTTTTAAAAAAAAGAATGTTAAGATTTAGTTTTCAGCACTTTCATAATTGATGGCCAAACAAGACTGGTAAAACATACAAACATGTAGTAGGCCTTGCATAAAATCACCCAGAAGTCTTTATTATGATAAATACGCCTAGTCAAAAGAGATTACTTGAACACCCCAAGGAGTAATCTCGTCCCCAGACATCACAGCGCAAGCGGCCACACACACAACAAAACACTTTACAATTCATAAAGTTTTGTTTTTGGGAATGAAAACGGGGGATGGGATGAATTTAAAAGGGGAAAAAAAGGTCCACACATGATAGAGGGAGCACTAACGACTTTTGAAGGCCTTTGGAGACAAATTTAGGCGTTATTTAAGAACTCGAGGGAAGAACAATTTATTGGCCCGTAATGAGCAAAAAACGCTCACAACGATTGCCATTAATATCCCCACGATAAGAAACTGCGCTGCCCCCAGAAGAATGCATTAAAGTGTCGCGGCGAGTTATCTCAGTTTTAAATCGAAATCGCAGCAAGCTCATCAGCAGCTTGAAATCTCAAGGGAAAAAAGAAGGGGAACCGATAAGATTACGCTTAAAAGAGGCCGGGAAAAGGAAGAAACTTAAAGCACTTATTTTAGAAGAGATTATTTTGGGGGTTAAGTTTATACGAAAAGTTCACCTAATGTTTGACCATAACGATGCCACCGACGTGACAATTGAGTTATCAATAGGGATGAGGAAATTTAATCCATTAGCAAAGGGCTTGGCTATTTCCCACACAATGATTTTCTATTTCTAATGAACGGATAAGAAGGAACAAAGAAATGAAATGCAAAGAAATTAAAACATTTTGTAACCTCATTACAATAATTATCAATGAATTATTCTGAAACTGTCTAATTGAAGTTATAACAGAAGACAAAAATATTTAAAAAAATGACCGTGTCATTGTGGTTCAGCCAATATTCAGATAGTCTGGGGGAGGAGGCATGAAACAATATTCAGTTTTAAGGTATCCGACTACTTGCGACAACTTTTTTTTGAAAAAATGGAGATGTGGGGATTTTTAGATTTATTTAGTATATTTTAAGGAAAAAATTCTAACATTGAAAACAGAAAAAAAAATTATATCTATTAAAATGAGAAAAAAACTGGTGAAAATGTACAAAAAATTACATAAACGGGGCCCGGCTCTGGACAAAAATTTTATCAACAAATTCTCACTTTTTCAATTTTGATGTGTTTCCTTGTTATTCATGTTTGAAATGACCTTCAGAATAAGAGATATTTTAATTTTTACAAAAACTAGAGCAGTTTATCTTAGTGACTACATGAAATTGCTTAAAACAACAGTAATTACATTCACATAAAGGACTGTAATTTTTGAAATAAAACAGTGATTTGATAAATCTGAAGATCAAAACACTTCTACTGTTATACAAAACATACACAGAAAATTTCAGCAAAAATTTTTTAAAACTTTTCGAGCAATCGATGTCCCCCTTTGAGTTTTTCGAAAAAAAAACAACACACACAATTCGAGTAGAACGCATTTTAAAGTTTGGCATCTTATGTAAAGTT